TATATATATATATGTCTTAAATCATAGGCTTCACTTCCAATGTTGGAATTCAGAGAAGAGAGAAACTGGTACAGAACTAAGGAAGCCAGTTTGGAGCTGACAGGGGATGGAGTTGAATAGGCTGACTAAAAAGAAAATAGCAAGTCATAGCTACAGTGTGAAACTGCTTATAGTTGCTCTTTTCCTTAAACCAAATCTTTGGAAAACAAGAGCAATGAAAAAGCCAATCAGAACAGAAAAAGTGCTTAAAGCCTGGCTGAGAACTCTATATTAAAAACTACAGTGAAGTTCATTCAGTAAGGAAGAAGTATTTTATGTAGGACATAAATCACCATGGTTTCAGTATGTCATTAAAAGAAATTAAATGAATAAGAAAAATGGGAAAGATTGTTGAGTGAAAAAAAAAGAACTTACAATTTCAAAAAAATTAAACATGTAATATAACCTTAAAATACTGTAATAAATAAATCTTGTCCCTGCAATAATCTGCAAGGGCATTTCATGGAGGAATTATTGAATTGCTAATTCTTTCTCAAAACTCTTATTTTTGAGAAAGGATTAGCAATAACTTATCTTTGTGTATCTTTTCTAAATAAAAATCCCAGCTAGCCACAGAACTCAAAATAAATAAACAAAGCAGGACCCCATTTCATGAGGGCAGCCCACCCTAACAAGGGAGGAAGACCATACACACACACATACACAAACATACACACACACATACACACAAACACACACACACACACACACACACACACACACACAGGTTTCAGTGCCTTAGCAAGTCATGGGCTCTTATAAGGTCATATTCAATTTACTGCCAGGAACAGCAATTTAAAGAAACAAATAAATCAGCTTCTCAAATCACGTTAACAAAGGTTACAGTTTCTTGTGTATAGTACTTTTGAGAATTTTCTATGTTCTATCTCAGAAGGTCAGTGAGCATTCCTATGTTCTCTCTGTGTTTATACCAAAAGTACAATGTGAACTTTGGCAAAATAAATAGCTCTAGGTTAGCTATGCTTTTTAGGTTGATACTGTAAATACAATTGAAAGCTAGCCAATTCCACACTATTGCTAAGAATTCAAGAAGACTCAGAAGTGATTCAAATGACTTGTCAAAATGGAGATTTACCTTCTGCATTGTTAACAACACTTAGAGCATCTGCAGATGTCTGCAGGGTCCTTGAGAACTCAGTCATCCCCAGGCTGTACTAGCTCCCCCCCCATCTCTCCCCCACACCTCCTGCTCAGGCTCTCTGGGCACTGTCCCTGTCCATGCAAACACTTTCAGCAGACTGCCTCAGTAGGAAGTACCTCCAAGGAGTAAATCACAGTAGAGTACAATTTCCTGCAACATGAGCCTTTTAAAGGAAAAAAGCAAATGGTGTGATTTTTGTTATGCAACAAAGGTCTCTAGGAGAGATTTTTTTAAAAAGTAGAGTCTTGAGATTTAATAGTTTTTTTTAAAGGACCATATTTTGGAACATGATAGAACCAATGTTCCAATTAAAATTATGAGAGAAGATACAAATATATTCCAGTGAAAC